ATGCTTTTAACCGAAAGTAAAGAATGATTCGCGTCTTCGTATGCAAAAAAACGTATACAGTGAGAACGAGAAAGCTGTGGAATAGGAAGACGACAATAAAGTAATTCTTTAGTGTAATTGATGTTGCTACAAAGCAGGAAGTTTTACTAGAAATTTATCAAATCACGTATTAACTGTAATGAGTTTATTAGCACTGCACAAATTCTAAGGCTGGCCAAACCATCCTAACTCCTTCGAGTACAGCAATTTGGACTTTATCCAAATTGTCAGGAATATTCCCTTTAAACTTTCTGAACTTTAGAGTGCTCGCACCGGTGCGCAGAAAGCGCGGAGAGAGAAAAGCACGCGTAGCACCGAGGCGACTTATTCTCTGGAGATCTCTGAAGAGCTCACTCTCCTAAGGACTCGGTTGTTCTAGTTTAGACTGGGTTTGCTTATTATTATTATTATTATTATTATTTTGTTTAATTTTTCAGACTAGAATGGAGTTCGACACTTCGAGTGCTGCTGATCTCCAACTTTACAGAAAATGCTGTGTCTCATGTGCATAAAACTATTTATAATTTGAGTCGTAAAGTCATCTTCCTATTCCAGCGTTTTCACTTTCAGACTCTGTATGATATCTGTTTGTTCATCCCATACTTAAGTTAAAGATGAATTAAATTCATAAGATGAAGTTTAATTCTTGATCCTTAGATTCACAACAAAAATGTTCTAACTTCTAATTGACTACATTACTAGATTATAATTTCTATTACTTATATCTTTGTAACCTGATGTTGTAGATCCTTTATATTTCAAACTTTGAATTCTGCTTCTTCAAAAAGTTTAAATCGATCAAAAGGTTTTCATCACCAAGTTAAAAAGATTAAGGAATTAGAAAACTAGAGTTTGAGACGAGATTTCCCTGATTTGGCAGCTGAGTAAATACAGGGGAAGCAAGTTCCAAACAGTGCTTATGTTCCAAACCTGACATTGAATGTCAGGTTTGAGCACAAATATTATGATCAACGTTTTAATAAATCTTCCTGTATTAAAACTGTAAGTGATCGTTCATTTTCACGTAAACCCCCGGATACCGTTTTCGAAACAATTAAAGTTTTCCATTTTTGCACATATCACGAATTTGAATCTTGGACACGTTTTGGAACAAAAACTATTTTTACAAACAATAAATAATTTGAAAATATTTAACAATTCAGAACAAAACGCACTTTCATAATTTACAGAATAGCATAAATTACTGAAAATATTTTCATCTTCTAAATTTTTCAAAAATTTGTTTCCACATTACAAATACTTTTAAATAGGGAGAGTACAGATGATTTCGGATATCCTCCACCATTTTTAATAAAAAAAATTCCAGCTTTTTTGATTTAACTGTAAGAACAATTTAATATTAATATTAGAATTATTTAATTTTGCAAGTTGTTATATTTTAAATATAAGAACAGAATAGATTATTTACATTTTTATTGTTTCATGTATTTACATTCTATTGTATGCGAAAAACTTGTTTTTTTACCAAAATGTGTAAATGCTTGAAAAAGTATCATTAATTCAAATCTGTGAAATGTCTTAAAAATGTGACATGTTCCAAAACGTGTTTTGTACCCAAACTTTGCATTTGCTTAAAAAATGTGACATGTTCTAAAACTAAATCAAGAATCATCAAAAATTATAATTTATTTTTTTGTAGGGGTTTAGTATTTAACTTTTTGTTATAAAAGTGTTGCCTTTAAGAATGTAAACTATGCAGACGGTTTTTTGTACTCTCGACTTATATTGAAAAATATAAACAGTTAAAAATTATAACTTTGCACATTTGACCCAAATCTAACACTTAGTGTGAGATTTGGGCCAAATCAAGGTTTGGAACTTTCTTCCCCTGAGATAGATTTAACGGAGTTCTTTAAATATTTGTAACAGGAAAATTTATTGATTAATATGGAAATAAATGAAGAATAAAATAAAAACCAAATGAATTTATTTTCAACTAATTATTACCTGGTTTTCCAATCTGTAAAGGCGAGCTCCTATTGTCATTGGTTTTATGTTTCCTTTCTTGTCCACGCCGTGGTGGTAACTGCCGGGTTTTCCTAGAGTTTGGTCCAGTCGTCTTTGTAGTTCCTGCAATCAGTTAATCAAGGAATATTTACTTTTATTGTACTGCATTATAATGTATTATCTTTAAATATAAGGTTACACAATGCGGTACAAAGTCATCAACTCCACCAAGCCAAAATATCAAATTTTAAACTGTTCTCATACAAACCTCTATAATTAATGGTAATCAATCGAAAATAATCAATAGATTTTAAAAATGTTCAAATTAAAAAATTGAACCCTANTAGCCCCCCCTAGATCGGTAAAATCGATGGTTTCCAGGTTTTTTTTTACCCCAAAGGTTTTTGATTTCTGAGCCCCACAAAAAGAAAAAATGAAAGCCCCTCCTCCTCCCCCTCTGGAAAAGTTCGTGTGTACGCCCCTTTGATGCACTGTACCTGTTGAAACTTTCTTCGAGCAACAAAATATTTTATTTTTCTCACTGCTCGGATCGCATTTTTGTGCGCAGTTGTTAGACTAAAAAGAAAAAATGTTAATAGCATTTTTAATCATGCATTGTTATTTAAATATTTTAAGTTCTATCTATCTAATTCTATTTACAAGTGCATTATATGATGTTTTGGTGAAATACGCATTAAAATCTTTCAATCCTAACTTCTTGTTCTTATTGAAGAACAATTAAGAAGGACAATAATAGTTTGAAATTTCATTATGTTACCAGATAAATTTGAAATAGGGGAGCTACGAGGTCACATTAAAATCTTTCAATCCTAACTTCTTGTTCTTATTGAAGAACAATTGGGAAGGACAATAATAGTTTAAATTTCATTATGTTACCGGATAAATTTTCTTTTCTCGTTCTTGTGATTAAAAATCGAAATAGGGGAGCTAAGAGGTCACATGGAGGCAAAGAAGGTATGTTAAGGTCCTAATCAGAAAGGCCCGGAATTAATTTACAATCAGACGACTTTACAATCTAATTTTACAATTATGATTAATGAAACAATAATCACAAATAGCCCTATTCTTCCATTTCCTAAATGTGGTCTGCCTTTTTTGAGCATTTAAAATTGCCTGATTAACTGTCAATTGATTCCGGGTCTTTTTGATTATAACTGTATTGGAAATATCTTCCTCATTGTTTAAAAAGAATCATTGTGAATCGCATATGGGGGGTCCCTTGAAATTACGTTGACACTCTCTAAAAGTCCTCTAGGGTCCCTTAAATGAGGGGTCTCTTGAAATTACGTTGACAGTATCTAAAAGTCCTCTAGAGTCCCTAAATGAGGGATCCCTTGAAATTAAGTTGACAGTATCTAAAAGTCCTCTAAGGTCCCTTAAATGAGGGGTCCCTTGAAATTACGTTGACAGTATCTAAAAGTAGTCTAGAGTCCCTAAATGAGAGATCCCTTGAAATTACGTTGACAGTATCTAAAAGTCCTCTAGGGTCCCTTAAATGAGGGGTCCCTTGAAATTACGTTGACAGTATCTAAAAGTCCTCTAGG